ATTTAGCACTAAGTTCAGTGACAACAATCATCACCAGCTCAAAGCAAAGCAAAAAAAAGCTTAATCTTTTTGTTGTAATAGACTTTCTTTTTGCCACTTATTTAAAAAAGTGCTGAACAGTTTGTCCTTTAAGGTGAATGGTTAAACAGCTCTAATTATAAGACCCCATCTTTGCGCTTTATACTTCCGTTGGTCAATCAGACCTATAGTTCGCTCAAAACTTTACCACTTTAATATTGACTACTGATCCTGTTCTGAATTTTCAGATGTATTGTTAACGTGGGCATAGTTCTAAATAAAAAATTTACAACTTAATGGCTATCAGTTTTTTCTTCTCTTCTCATTCGTTTATTTAATTTTTTTTGTTATCGTCCATAAGAAGTACTCTTTGTTGAAGGGACAGACGATCGACAAATGTAAACCCAGATAACGTGTCTGCTATCTTCTGTTTAAAAAGTTATTTTATTCTTTTGTTTTCAAAACATTTTCCAACTTTTCAGTTGTTTTTAAGTCTTTGTTGTCGTCAGTGAGCATCAAAAAAATAGTTAATATTGAGCAAAAAAAATTTATGTTGAACAATGTTCAATTTTCACAACCAACCAAAATTGACATCAACTTCTTCATTTAGACTGCCTTTTTCAAAGTCAATAGAACTATCGTGATGTCTTCAAAATATAAAAAAAAGGAGCAAAAAAAATGATCTAAAAATTATAAATTTATTTGCAGAAACTTTTGTTTTTCCCAAAATCGAACATCAAACAAAAAAAATTCTCAAAGGTTTTAACTATATATCAACAACAAATTTCACTCCCTTCGTTTTGTATCACCTGCTGAAAAATTTTCCAGTAATTCAGTTAATTTGGAAATTTCTTTCTATGCAACTAACTATACTTCTATATCGTGCTGTAACTCGAATGAAAAAATTAGTTGAATCAGTTAAATACCATAAATCTTTCCCCACACACTATTCTCTCTCCGTCGTCGATGAATTTTTATGCATTCAACCAGTTCACAGTAACAACCAAATTTTAACAGATGTAACCTAAAATATATAAATTTTTAAAGCCGTATCTTTCTTTCTGCACATCAAGATTGTTGAAAGCTGAGGAGAATCCTATTAATACAGAATGACTCCACAGTGAAAAAAAAGAAGCAGCATCCCTGTAATAGTATTATTCTGCCAAAATCCACTTTTCCTTAATTTTTCATAAAAAACAGAGGTGATATTCTACTGATGATGTATCAGTAACCGAAAATAAGGAAAAAAAGCGCAAAGCTCTTTAAAATTTTTTGGATTCTTTGCAACGTTTACAACCGATTGTGAGAAAGTTTACAGTGAAAACCGTAACAGATTTTTCATTACCTGACCTCTCTAGTTTTTCTTATATTCCAAAAGACTGCAAACGGACATTCTGCAAAGCATTTCATTTTCAGTCATTTTTGTATAAACTTACTAGAAACTTCTTCTAGATCCTAAAGATGCTGAACAGTACAAATTTCTTTCGCTTAACTAGAATCTTTGCAATAAAACATCCCGTCGAGTGAAACGTTCTCGAAATTTACCCCGAACTTATTATTACAGTTCAGCGTTAAGCTGCGACTTGATAAGCGGTTGGAGATCAGTGTCAAAGAAAGAATTCTGCAGAGTTTCAGCAGCGTTCTAAAGCTCTTCACTTCTTCTTTAGTCCCAATATTTATCCACAATTTCGTTTTATTGACTGTCTAAACAGCAGCTCTATCATTTCCGTAGTCAAATAACTTTTAGAATTCATTTTAGAATTCAGAGTTCATTGACAACAGTACAGTGGAATTAAAGCTTAATAAGACCTAACCTGTGTTTTCATTCAAAAGTATAAACAGCATAAAATAAACTGTTTCAGTGCCTACGGTTTACCCAACCAAATAAAATCCTTTATATCCAAAGAAGTTCCCCGGTACACTGTTACCTGTTTTATGCTGACCACGAAATGACAGATAATTTCCATTGTCATAATAACCTTTTTTGGCAAGAATTCGATGTAAAAAATGTAGTTTTGAGTCAAATATTCGTCACCACTTATTAGCAGTAGTCATT